CTTAAAATCTGGAATTTGTTTATCAAGATATGTGTGTGGTGATTGTTCTCATGGTGTGATGTTGTTTGTTCTCTATTGCTGCTGAAACACTGAAATTTCCCCATTGAGGGATCAATAAAGTACCTAATGCCTTGTGCACAAAAGGAAATCAGATCCTAAATTAAATTGTTCTATTGTTCACTTGAAGATGTGATCAAATAAAATGCCCCTTCTACATAGTTGTATATAACGGCTTACAGTGAGTGGTCACTACTGTGGGAAAAAAAGACTCATTCATCTAAATATTATAGCAAACTGTATGTTCACTCTGTAAAGCAGCTCCTGTATTTGCAACCTTGAAAGAGAGAGAGATTAAAGCAGCATCAAAAATAAAGTGATTTTTATCAAAGCTTAAGGCGGGTGAATGACTTGTGTGAGCAGGAGGGAAGACAAGGGCAAAGCAGAGAAACTGATGCTGAGGGAGGAGAATAAAAAAGAAAGGCAAACATAATGGACATGAGCCATAAAATCTGGATGAGGAGCGGTCAGTGAGAAAGCCTGACAGCTGGACTCTTGGGTCTGATAACAACGTGGCTTTGATGTCATCATTAGCATCAGGGGGGATTTGACAGGTGTCGCTCGGGAACATTTAGCCTGCACGCCTGGCCAGGCGCATGACAAATCAGCTGGCGATGAGCTGTCACACGCAGCAGTGTGCATCTTCTCTGTGTGCATGTGTCTGTGCAACATCATCCATATTGTTAGGTTATCCTATGTTGTTAGGGTAATGTCATGCCAAGGTCCATTTATTAGCTGTTCAAGTGCTTTTGATAGCATCACATATCAAACTCCAACTGCTGTGGATTAATGGCATATGATCATAAGCCTGAACAATGACTAACTGACCTTCAGGTGCAAATTGTTCATTCTTTTTCACTAGGAAACCAAGGTAACATAAATTCTGCAAGCAGTGTACTGTAGTGCCTAATGATCACATGATTAATGATGTGTGCTCAATTATTTTGGCATCTTGTAAAATATGGCTGATACCATATGGGCTCAAACAAGACACGGGATCAAACAGGTAGATGGAAATGCACAGACAAGCTCAAATGAATGTTTCATTTTCCCCTGCAGTGTTTAAACATCTTTAGTCATGTATCAATGTCACTGCAGTTTGACCTGTACACCTGATTTATAGGCAAGTGTTGAATCTTACTGCCTACTAATAACTAAAATATCAAAGCAGAAACAGATGTACCCTTGGCATGCATCAACACAAACTCTTCATATTTTATGGCAAAGCACTGTAGCTATATACAGTACAGTGATAAAATATGTCTTTTCTTCTGTTTTCCCATCAAAACATAATGTAATAGTTTACTGAGTGAGTGGACAGAAAGGCTAAAGGTTTGAAAAGGTCCCAGTCTGTCAAAATGCTGAAAATGAAGCAGAATCCGTACACAGATTGTGTTGTTATGCTTCTTTACTCTAATATAGTGGGTTTCAAATTAAACAGTGACTATGGTTACCGTGCTGATTGGTGGGTCGAACTTTGTCAGAAGCCACATACGTATCTTTAGCGAAGCGGTGTGGAGAGCTGCATGTGGGATTCATTGGAGTGGGAATGGTGGAATCACAAGCACTAACTAGACCGGCAGCAATTAGAACGCAGCCGTATCCGGTGGAAACTGAGAGTTACTGTAGCTTTATGGGAGCATACTGATCCGCTTCATACATGTTTTAAGTTACAAATAATTAAACAGATTTTTTTCCTTTAACAATCATAATCAAATTTATGATAAATATCAACACTCTATTCTTCAGCAATGTTTTGTTTCTATTCTTATGAATATTATTTATTCTCACTTCATTTCTCCCAGTTTTGTAAACCTTTATACCAGTAATTTTAGCTCCATTTCTACTTACAGTATGATTGAGTGACATACCGTCTTGCTACACCTCATTTCTGCTTTCAAAAGCAGCATCATTCTCCATTCACCTGAAGAAGAAGGTTTTCACTGCCGCCAACACTACAAAGTCCTTCTAGAGAGCTGGAAACAAACACCAACTGGATTGAAAAACAGGAAAGTAAGCACTGCAGGCCGGCTGATTGCTAACACACATACACGATAAACACACTGGAATAAACAAAATACACACTCAATGGATCCAAGACTCAGTTCTGAGGCAGAAAATCACACACAAACACACACAGACAGGGAAACACACACTTTTCAGAGAGAATAGCAGTGTTTTATACACACAAACATCCCACCGTCCACACCTCTTTCTCAAACACACAGACACACACAGAGGGTACAAGTGCTCTTTGATGCCCTGCAGCTTCAGATTTTAGAGAGGAGCTCATGTTTTGCATGCACACACACATTAGACATACACACCCATAGTGCATACCCAAACTTCATCAGAGTGGTAGCTATCAAATCCTTAAGCTATACTGTAAAGCCCTCCACCTGCTCCCTCGTTTCATTTCAGTCTGGCCCAAAGACCTTGAGCTGTGTTTTGTTGGCAAGTGTCGCTAAAACTTTATTGCTGCAGCAGCTCATGTTAGAAATTTGAACAAGTCATCAAATTTAATTTATTTACAAGCTGAGGGCCTTAGGATCAATTGTCAAAAGGTTGCTCTTAAGATGGTTATAGAAGCATTTAATATGAGGGAATAGAAGTATAATGTATGTTCAATGTCAACAGTTAGGTTTCACCAAATCTGCAGCATGCAAACTGCTTTTTGCAACAGGAAATCATTTCTTCTCTCTCATTTTGATGTTTCATCCAACAAAACAAATGCCAAATGTGAAAGCTCTTTGTAAAAAGTGGTGCTGAAACAAAGCCCCGGTCAGTTAGAAAGGTTTGGGGCTCTGTCTACAAAGTTTTAGATTTTAGTATTACAGCAGGATGAACAGGAAATCTGGTCTCACTGTGCAATCTGCATCAAACATCATCACTGTGGATACAGCATGTCTGTTAAGTAACAGAAACTGTAAAAAAAAAAAACTGTGTAGGTGCAGAAAAGAGACCTCAAGAGGGTTAACAACATGGCTCCACTCAGAAAACAGAGGTAAAGATGTGGGTGCAGAAAAAAATGACACCAACGGGGATATTTGCTAAAGTTTTCTTTAGGCTGGAATTTGTGACAGGTTTAATAAATATCCCCTAAGATTCAACAGAGAAGAGGACAAAAAAGTTCATTTCAACCAATTACATAAAAACACACAACTGATAAGTGCTGTTGTTAAAGTTGTATACTGACCCATGCTAAACTCTTCTGGTTGAAAGGCGTTTGCACTTCTGACTACACCCAACAATGACATGAGTGTACTGACCACACCCTAAATACACCTCTTTATCATTGCAGCAAGGTATAAAATTATTCCAAAGTATGTTTAAGGTATGGGTTCATTGTGTGCTGGTCTTTCCAGTAGTGTGTAGTGTTCTTCTTTAAAATGCAACCAGACTCAGGGCTGCTTTTTCTGTAGTGATGTGCAACTTCATGGAGACGATGAAAACCAATAATTCACACAAACCTGCAGTGTAATGGGCTTTCAAGGGAGCTTTCCAGGGAGCAATGACACTGACTATCTGTGCCTTTGATAGACACTTTACACTTCCACGTAATTCCACACAGTTATGCAGACCAACACACACACACACACACGCACACAGACAGACAGACACAGTTAATCTCTTCTCATATTTGCAGTGCCTGCAACTCAGCTTCAGCCCAGTCTCTAGCCGTGAAAGTGCTGTGTTTTTGAAGATGTGGACTCAGCATCAAATCCACCCAGCCAGAGCATCGAGATGAGAACCAAATTATCTCCCAAAGATTGTAGGGTGACAGAGGAGAACAGAATGAAAAGGAGGGGGGTAGAGAGGAGAGGTGCGCAGAGAGAGAGGGCTACTAGAGAGGTCAGAATAACCTGGGGCAGTCATTGTCCCCTGCAGGTGAAGAGTGAGAATGGATGTGTTTGCATGCAAAATACAGAAGACGAATTAAGTGAGAGGAGTTATCAACAGCTGCCAGGAAACCTCATCTGTATACTGCTTTATTTACAGTTGCCATCTTTACAGCAAGATATAAAAGTTCATAGCCTGATGTAAATTTTAATGATAACTAGTAAAAGTCATGTGGGAATAGTATGTTTTATTGGGGGGGAGCTGTATGTGAGAACGCAAATGTCAGTTGACCCGGACATTAAGTGGACTTCACCCTGCAGGGTACTAGTACAAAGTCCGCACAATGTCCGAATGAGCTGGAGTGAGGCCATGTAAGAAAACAGCCATGTATATTCTGGAGTATTCACATGGAGCTATTCTATCACGTGACCAGGGCGAAACCAGAAGAATACATCTGACGGTGGAGAAAAATGGCCATTTACAATGACGATGCCAACGGAAAGATCCAACTGTAAACATCACAAGATTCAGGAATTTCTGTCGTCAACAGCCGGAGTCAGAATTGTCAGACTAATTCAGAAAACATCAAAAGACTGGGCTGTTTATCACCAAACTTCCAAACTGGCTATGTGACCGCATCAGATCCCACCTCCTGCGTAATCTACATCTACCCAGGCACGTCCCCTTGCATAAAGCAACTGCAGTTTTACCAGTAGGTGAGAACGCATCTGACAGGGACTGTCTCCTGTTGTATGCTACATGAAAGGGCAACTCTGGACCAAGTCAGAAACCTGATTCCACAGACATAGTCCGGAGTTCATGTGTGAAAACGGCTATACTCTTTATTTTAGTATTGCGGTTTCACGGTGCTTTTTTCAGTAAGCATCCTGAAATGGAGAGATCTGCTTCCTGGGTATTTGTTGAAGGAACCTATTAGCTATCTGTCAAGCTAGAAACAGTACAACACAGAAGCCAAGACAGAACAGTCATTTACAGAATTTTTAACCAGCCACTATTTATTTTTGCTATTTTTCTAACCACTATTTACTGAAGTGGCTAACAAACAGAGACTGACAAACAGGTCAAGGTTACTATTAGCTCACCTTGTTCCCGATGGCTTTCTTGGGCGGGAAGTTGAAGGTGTCCACCTGTGGAAACCTTCCTCTCAGGTGGTTATGGAGCTCCCTGAACTCTGTGTAACGTCTGTATACATTCCACTCATTGTCCAGGATGCGGATGTACACCTAAGAACAGGACAGAAACACCAACATTAACATCAACAGCAGCATGTCCAGGTTTCACCTCATCTGGTAACTACTCAAACCAGCCATTAAATACAAAACTGCAGAAATACACAGAGGTGATTCAGTAAACCAGTGCCTCCCTATGAGAATGTAACTAAACTATATTAAATACTAAAATGGAAAACACACCAACAGCATATTGTTATATAACAGCTTTTTTGTGTGTTGTTGTTCATACATTTGTCATTAACCTTTTACAGTGCTTTAAAATAAATTAATGAGATGGGTGAAAGAATGACTTCCACTCATCCTTGTAAATGTGTGTTTTCACTTACATCCCACAACACATAACAGAGAAAGAGGCTGTGCTGCCTGCCACCATTTCCATGCACCATTAACTGCTTTATTCTGACTCACAACAGACAGGGGGTGCAGCGAAAGAAGGAAAGATGAGCCTATTGTGGGGGGAGGGGGGCATCTATTTTCACTGTAGAAAATAGAAAGACAAAAGAGCTTTTGAGAGCTCAATTTTAAAACACTAAACCACCAAAACAGCTAAATCAAAATAGAAACCGATTTAAAAATGACCAAATGTACCAAGGCACAGATCTCCCCTAGCAGAGAGGAATGTATATTATTTTTAGTATAGTACTTGTGTGGTGTAGAAGAGAATTATTTATGTAGAGATACTGCTTGCAAACCAATGATGGTAAGATGATGTCATGGGGTAGGACTGGATAAGTCTGACTTCTTCCTACTCCATTCAAGCATGTACTAGGTATAAGCAAATTGATATTGGATTAGCATTTGTTGGATATGTGTAAAATTATGTGTGTTGATATATCAACTGTCTTTACATGCTTGAAAGAATAAATAAATCAAAATAAATCAAATCAAATGTCAAAACAGTTCCATGATGTTAAACTGCACGCTTCCTTCTGAACCTGCAAAGTCTTGACACTGCTCATGTTGGCTTTACATTGTTAGTTATCTTTAACACACAGTAACTTCTTAACCTTGACTTAGGCTTAGCATGTGATAAGGTTCACTGAGTGTAAATATTTTTAAGAGTGCTGTGTTCATACTCTGTGCTGTGCCCACACATATTCCCACTGAGTTGCCCAGTTACACTGCAGCCTGGACGACTGCTGAGCTGCTCCACTGACACGCATCACTCCGAAACACCACAACAGAAGCTGCTTAAGGAAAGGAGCATCTCCTTAATGAAGGTGAATATGCTCAGCTTGTGTTGAAACTGTTTTAGGGAAGTGCTGGTTCAACTGTATGGTTATTTTGGAGGCTGTAGTTTGTGCTGCAGTCTTAGTTAGGTGGACCTAATAAACTGCAGATGGGTGCAAATAAAGATTTTGACCTGATTATGGCTAGATGAAAAGTTGAAGCACCAGGTCAGTATAGACTAGGCAGACTGAGCATCATCACAGAGCTACTGATTCCATCTAGTGCTCGAAGTCGGGGGCGGAGTGCTGGTGCTCCCCTTATTCACGTTAGTGTGTCGGGTCGGGGTGGGGAGTAATAATTCTGATTATAATATTTAGTTATTCATTACAGGCATTATTAACAGTAGGTAAAGAGCAAAACATAGTGCCGGTAAAGTGTACCAGTGCGTACTGACCCACTTCGAGCACAGATTCCACTACTGCAGCTGGGGAGGGAGAGGAGGACCTGCCAACAGCACAGTCCACAGTGCAAGCCAGCCACAAGCCAGCAACAAAGACGTATGGAGAAGCTGCATACAGAGCCTACCCATCAACCCCCCGAGCACGCTATCCATCTGACAGCTGCTGAGATACAAGAGGAAAGTGGTGGACTGACCAACACACCAACACTGCCAGAGCTATGCTGCTAAGTTGGCTAAAATAAGTGACTATTTGCACAAAGGCATGATATAATAGGGCTGTGACTGCCATCATTTGGCTTTCAGACTACTCACTAGACGTTTGATGTCCTTTTCAGAAGTGCAGACAACAAACTGTCAAAGCTACTGGAGCTCTTACTACATGTTGTGTTCATGTCAACCTCAAAGAAGTTTTGATGGATATAGAAGCAAGAGGATTATGGCCTAAGTTTTTGTTTTGAGGTGGCAGTTCCTTTACTCGGTGATCTTTTGTCAGCATGCGTGCTGCTGTGCAGTCTAGGTTATATGACATGAAAATGTGGCATTTTGGACAGCTATTAAGAGCAGGCTGACAGCTCAAGCTTGGTTAGCTGCCCTAAATGTCTTGTTGTTGTTAATATTTCAGCATCAGTGACAGACATGTCGAGACACTGCTAACGCTATAAAAAGATATAATAAAACAATTCACAGTGTAGCTGAAGAAATGGTCTAAACTATGTAAATGGATATCAACTGAATAAGTGGGAGGTGAGAAAGTACACCAAGATGTTCTGATCCTCTGCCGACTTTATCAATTAATGCTCACTTTATGCATGGTATAATCGTAGAATGGTAGAAGAGTATACTCTTAAGATTTCTATACAGTGAGACTGTATGAACACATATCATGAATGAAAACTATTCTGTGTTGAGTAGCATTAAAGACCACAGGAGTCTAATCCTAGTACAAAGAATGAAAAATAAAGACATGATGAACTCTATGGGTGTGACAGGAGAGACATGAGGTAAAGATGAGGTGATTGGCACAGATGCAACATAGGAAGTTGTAGTACTTTGGCCTAACATTAGATGGGCTTACCAACAAGGCTGTAGGTTGCAGCAGCAGCTGTGTTTGCAACACACAGTTAAAATACTTCTTTGCATAGTCAGGACTCAGTCAAATATGAACACGCAGGCATGCTACAGATATTTTTTGACTCTGTGTGACTTCTACTTTATCAAGGAATCATGTTCTGCCCATCACGAATAATGTCCACAAATAAACGTTTAGGGAAAAAAAGATATTCCTTGAAACTCCAGGCCTCACATGACAGAATGTCATCAACATGCCCACTAGCTCCATGTGAATACTCTGGACTATACACTGCTGTTTTCTCACATGGGCTCACACCGCCTTGCTTGGACATTACGTGGACTTTGTACTAGGGAGATGTCAGGGTAAAGTCTGCTTAATGTCTGGGCCAGCTGACTTGGATATTTGTGTTCTTACATACAGCTCCTCTGGGTAATGCCTAGATAATTTCAGGGCTCTGGTAAAAGGGCTATAGTTGTCTGTATATCAAGGGGTCCACTGAAAACAGGAAGCGGTAATAGAGAATTCTGCAATCCTTTGATAGTACAAATTTGTACAGTGGTCTTGATTTTATCTGAGGAGAGGCCCACAGACCTTTGATATACAGCAACCTGTGGCATGAAGAGCAGCTGCACTAAAGGAAAAACCCAAATCTGGCAAGTGACAGTAGTGGGATGATGAGAACTGACAAGGCCACTAACGGACTAGATACGTCATCTCAGCACTTTATGTTTATGTCTGACCTACAGAAACACATCTAAGTTTTTACCAATTTCTTTTTTGCAAGTTAAGAGAAGCAGTGGCTTGGTGTGATCTGGTTGTGTGTGTGTGTGTATGTATGTGTGTTACAACTCAGTTATCTATCTTGATTAAAGTGACAAAGACTGAGCTGACTAAACAGGGACATAATGAATGGCTTATTCAGGATGAATCAGTCTCCTAAAGGAAAAGATTAATAAGAAATAAGATAAAAAAGACACTCACACCTTAGACATTTCCAGCAAAATCAATCAATCCCCCCAAGTGAGCTTGGCATACAGGTAGATGAATTGTTCACATATCATTTCCACAAATTTAGTCTAGTCTTGGACGCCAGAAAGCTGAATTTCCAAACATCCGCATCTGTCACATTTGTCTCAATCACTCCATCAGTGTAAAAACAATCACATCAAAGTCAAAGAGCAGGCTGAGCAATCACTGGAGCATTAGCTTTCAGAGCTAAACAGTTCATAAAGTATTCCTTACATTATTGTTCAACAGAGGAAAGTGAGGTATGTGCTTTTCAAGATTCCATATGGTCTGCTGAAATACACAGCTGAAAAGGCAACCAGGCAAATCCACTTCACGGTGTATCGGGAGACAAAAACAAGCTATATATCCTTGTATTTCTACATTACATACTCATCAGCCTGCTTCAAAAATGAGACTGCAATACGTGCATATGGTAAAAGTATTGCATTAACAAAGATGTGAGGATAGAATCAGCCCCATAGTGTCTGCAGTTCCTCAGACATCAAATGGCTCCTCACATATGGCAGTATTAGCGCAGCAAGCTTAATCCACTTTATACCGTCTCATTGGCATACTTATTTATGGCAACGCATTAGCCTCACAGCTACGCACACAGCCACCAGCTCCCTCCTCCTGGCTAATCACAAATAGTCTTTTATCTCTGACAAAAATCTTGGCGACATCTAAACTGTAGCATCCCTGAATCTTCGAGCACTGCTGGTTTGATAGCTCCAATAAAAGCCATCTTCAAACAGGGACAGGGTCTCTGATTATGGTTGACGGGGGACCTCATGGAACACGGTTAATGGGTTTTGGCTGTTGTTGAAAGCTCGGCTGTGATGGACACAGTGCTATTTTCAGTGTTCAAATGGATTATGAGAATATTTGAGAAAGCATAATAAGATGTTTGATGAAAAAATGACCTCAATGTGTTAACATAACAAGGAAAATCCACCTTTGGTTACTGAAGCAGAAGCACTAAACTTTGCTATGACGTTTTCTTTTTTTAAAGCGGTGAAGTGCTGCAATTTACTTCCTAGGTATATCCACCCCTGCAAAAATCACTCACCTAAACCAGGCAGAAAGTCTGCTTTACTCAGCTTCAGGCCATATAGCAAAACGAAAGAAAGGTCAAGATAAAGTGTTTGTGTTGTTTCTTAGTTACAACACTATGTACAGTAATACAGAACGCTGTCTCTCCAGTGGACTTGTCATTATGATATACAACATCACTGCAGGAAAAAAGTGCTCATTGTCTAGAGCATAGGGGCTGTCGACACT